ATATAAAATATATATATTAAAATTATAAAATATATAATATAATAAAAATAAATATATATATATATATTTGCTGGGGAAATTTTCCTTTAAAAAAATGTTCTTTAAAATTCTGTTAAATAAATTCAAAAAAAATTATTTGCGATATTTTACCCAATTTCTTCCTCGAACTTAATTATTTTTTAAATAGAATTACGATGAAAAAAAACACGAAATCAACACACGCAAAACACGCACAGTGTACGCCCAGTGAAGAGGGGGGCCCAGAGCTATAAACGCCCCCCTGCAACCAAAATTTACTAAGTCACCCACACACACAGACACACACACAAAAAACACACACACACCACCCACACACAAAACACACACACACACACACACACAACCAACACGACACACACAACACACACACACACACACCACACACACACACACACAACCCACACACACAACACACCACCCACCGAACTACAGACCATGCAATGGGTTTATAATATGCAACCCAGGGAATTATCGGGAGGAGAGTGGTGGAGCATCTGGAACGTAGCAAGATTATAAACGACAACCAGCAGGGGTTCAGGAAGGGCAAATCCTGTGTCACAAACTTCTGGATTTTTATGACAAATTACAAAGAAGACAAGAGAGAGGGGTGCGTCGTTGCAATTCTTAGACTGCAAGAAGGCCTTCGACACAGTTCCTCACAAGAACGAGCAAAACAAAGGGGATCGGGCGCGTATGGGGAAGGCACTGCAATAACAGAAAAACCCGACGGGAGGCAACAACAAGTCATGGTAAGTGATGAGGTTCCAGGGGGCACCTTGACAGCGAGTCCCACGGGGGTCAGTCCTAGGCCCCGTGCTATTTTTGGTTTTTTGTGAAGAAAATGTGAAAGGGGAGACTAAAGGGTGTCCCTGTTCGCAGATATTTGAAGAAAAAGAAGAAAATTAAATCAAAGGGGAGCAGGCGGGCTTCAAAGAAACCTGGAGCTTCCGTTCAACCCTCCAAATGCAAAGTCATAAGAGGGAAAAGCGAAAAGAAGACCACAGCCAAAGTATAAGCTGGGTGGCCAAAGACTATAAACCTCGCTAAAGGGAAAATCTTGGGTTTTAGATAACACCGAGCATTCTCCGAGCACACATCAACCCAAAAACTCTGGGAGCTATGGGCGCCGGCAAACCTGAGATTACGTTTCCGATACTTAAGAAAAGGGAAACTTTCATACACGTAGACGGGTTGCAGGCCCAGCTGGTATGCAGCACCATTTTGGAAACCCCCACCGGTTTAAACACGTTAAAAAAAATAAGAGAAAATGCAAATTTTGCGACAAGGTTACTCCAACTAAGGGGGAAAGTTCTACAAAAAAGGTTTAGGGGAAAACGGCCTGAGAACTGGAGGGCATAGGTTGGGGGAAAATGTAACGACATACAAAATACGCACGGAATAACAAGGTGGACAAAAAAGATGTTCCCCAAGGGGGCATAGATACGAGGGTCACCCCTGGGAATGTAAGACTCAAAGAGCACTGTAGTTAGGAAGATTTCTTCAGTCATAAGTGGCGCCTAGCAATCCAAGAACAGAATTCCATCTTAATAAGGAATCGTTTAGAACCCTGTAACTGTTACGTTAGCCCATATTGGGGAGCAGCCCATTTGAAACCCCACACCTAGCCAAGTACGAAAGAAACTGAAAAGTGCAAAGGTTTGCAAAAAGACTTGTCCCGGAGCTAAGGGGTAGTCCTACGAGAGAGTTAAAGGAAATCGACCTGACGACACTGGAAGACAGGAGAGATGGGGGGATATGAAACAATAATAAAATACTAAGAGGAATCGACAGGTGGACAGAGCAGGATGTTCCAGAATGAGACACAGCAACAAGGGGTCACAGTTGGAAGTTGAAACTCAGAATCACAGGATTCAGGAAGTATTTCTTCAGTCACCAAGGTTGTTAAAAAGTGGAATAGTCTGGGAAGTGATGTAGTGGAGGCGGGTTCCATGCATAGCTTTAAAAAGAGGTATAATAAAGCTCCAGGGAGCGGGAAGAGTGACCTAGTAGCGGCCAGTGAAGAGGCGGGGCCAGGAGCTGTGACTTATCCCTGCAACACAACTGGGTGATACAACTAGGCGAGTACAAAACCACCACGCTCTCTCACTCTCACATGCACAAACACTGGGAAAACAAAAGGGAGATTGACTGGAAAACCTGGAGCCTCATGGGGGACCAGAAACGTGAGGGCCATAATGATGGAAGTGATATTGGAAAACATGTTAAGGACACCACCAAAAGGTGAGAGGATGAACCAGCAAAATGAAACATCATATTCACCTTGAGTAATTCAGACATTGTGAACATTATAAAATTAAAAGGGCCCCTCTAAGCTAGTATCACGTTGTTCTGAGCTTCGAATACACTGGAGAGTTAAAGTAGAGGGGGAAAGCAGCACAAGTAGGATGGGAGAAGCCAAAGTATCAAAAAGGGGACTACACAGGTATGATGAATTTCCTTCATGAAGTACAGTGGGAATCAGAACTGGAAAAGAAAAACACTGAATGAAATGTTGGAATACGTGCCCAAAACAAAATGCAGAGATGGAGATGTTCATGCCTAAGGGCAACATACTCAAGGGGAAAACTAGAACAGCCCTTGGTTCACCTAAAAGTGTAGAGAAAATCAAAATTTAATTATGCTAGAGAATGGAAAATTATAGAAACAAAGAGGGGAGGAAAACAAGGTAATTAGCCGCATAGCCAAAATGAATATGCACAATTAGGAGGGAGGCCGCGGCAAAAACAAGAATGACATAGCATCGAGAGCCATATCTGACCCGAAGCTGTTGTACAGCCACATCAGGAGGCAAACAACAGTCAAGGACCAGGTAATCAGGCTGAAGAAGGAAGGAGGGGAGATCACAAGAAACGACCAGGAAGTTTATAAAGTACTTTTAGTGGAGACAGATTGGACCGCAATAGATCGGAATGGTAGGGTACCCAAACAAGTGCTGGACAGACACATAACCGAAAGGAGGTGAAAAGACTGTAAGTGAGCTAAAATATCTCAAAGGTGGTGGGACCGGACATCTATCCGTGGGTCCTGAGAGAAGGGCAAGTGCTGTGTGTGCCATTAACAGCTCTCTTTAATACGTCATCGAAAAGGGCAACTGCATTGTGTGGCATAAAGCAAATGAAGTCCCAGTCTTAAAGAAATGAGACAGGAAAGGCAGCACTGACCTATAGACCTATAGAGATAAACCCCACCAAGTACAAAGTCATGAAGCTTGGGGAAGGTGAAAGAAAACTGCATACAGAGTAAGGTTTGCAGTTCGCTACAAACCTCACTCAAGGAAATGGATCTTGCAGTGAGTGTAATAACAAGCACATCTCTTTGGGCCATATCAGCCAAATAACTGCTGTAGCATATGGGCGCCGGGCAAACCTGAAAATAGTGTTTCGACACCTTAGCAAGGATCGTTAAAGATAAAACAAATAACCCGCACATAAAGAGAAAGCTTACGACGACTTTTCGGGTCAGACTTGGACCATTGACAAAGTCACTTTGTCAATGGTCCAAGTCGGACCGAAACGTCGTCGTAAGCTTCTCTCTTTTATGTGCGGATTATTTGTGTATCGTTCCATTCACGATTGTCCTTTTTTTGTTAATCTTTTAAAGACTCTGTATACCATGTACGTCATTCCTATTTAAAGTATGCAGCAACAGTATGAAACCCATCCCTGGCTAAAAACGTCATGAAATTAGAGAAAGGGCAAACGTTTTGCAGCACGACTGGTTCCAGAGCTATGGTGCTTGTCCTAAAAGCAGAGGTTAAGTGAAATCGTCTTGACGATACTGGGGGGACAGGAGAGATAAGAGGGACTGAAAATGACATAAAATACTGAGAGGACTTGACAAGATGGATAGGGACAGAATGTTTCAGAATGGGACACAGCAACAAGGGGTCACAACAGGAAGCTGAAAACTCAGAGAGTCAGATGGATGTTAAGAAATTTTTTTCAGTCATAGATTTGTCAGGAAGTGGAACAATCTGGAGAGTGAAGTATGGGGAGGCAGGATTCATGCATAGCTTAAGAAAAGATAGGATAAAGCCGAGGAGCAAGGAATGTGGACCTAGTAGCGACCAGCGAATAGGCCGGACAGACCTGTGACTCGACCCCTGTAATCAAAAACAGGTTAGTATAAATAGGTAAGTATGAACACATACACTCAGTTTCATGCGTCAAATATTTCAGAGTTATTCGACGTTCAAGTACCATTGCAGCACGCCCTCTAGACCAGTGAACTAGCAGTTCCAGAGGTACCCTAGCTATAAAGTATTACGGTTCGCGTGAAAACCCACAAATTCTGCAAAGTAACGTTTTCAACGTCCCGTAGCTCAGTAGGCAATGCTCCTCGCC